TAAAGCCTTATTAAATATCATCTTCTTAAGTGCAAACTCTGCTTTAAAATCCCTAATCCTATGATAAAACCTATGGTCTTGGTTTTCCTTATTACAGCCTACTTCCTCCTTTTTTGACCTATCTCTATGTTCTTCATTTAATAACTTCTCAAAATAGTTTTTTCACCCTTCCCTAATCTCTTCATCTTTCATCAACACCTTAGAATCCTCAATCTTGATACACTTAACCTAATTAAAATATCTTGTTTTCCTCCCTCTTATCTTAGCAAATATGTATATCCTCTTCTCTCTCTCTTTACTATCTAGTCTAGTGTATAGGTTCTCATAAATGTTCAATTTAGGCCTTGTTTGACAAGTGATGATTTTAGCTAAAAATCAAAAAGATATTAAAAAAACAAAAAACTAACAACCTATATCAAAAAGTCAAAGATTCTCTTTTCTTTTTACTTTTTACACGTCTTTTCATAAAAATTCAAAAAGTCATCTTAAGTCTACTAGTTTTTTTTTACATCATATTTTAACCAAAAAGTTAAAAAGTTACCAAAAAAACATGTTCCCAAACGAGGCCTTAGTCTCCCTCACTACTTTTTTAGCCTCTTTATTGGCCAATCTGTAGCGCTTAAAATTTTCCTCAGTTATATCATTATGTCACTTTTTAAAGCTCTCCTTTTCCGTCTTTATTACCGTTTGGACCTCCTCCCTCCACCAAGTTTTCCTAAAATTGGGTCCCTTTCCTTTCGACTTTTAAAAAACTTCCTTTGAAATTCTCCTCATATAATTGGCTGTCGAGTTTCACACAGTCTTAGCATCATCTTTCAAATTCTACGTACCTTCTTTATCCATTATATTCTTAAATGTGTCTAGTTTATCCCCTTTTAGATCCCACCATCTAGTTCTGCGACACTCACTATCTTTCCAAGTTTGATATTGCCCTTTACAGCATAAATCTAATACCAAAATCCTATATTGAGACATCAAGCTCTCTCCAAGAATCACCTTTGAGTTGCTACATTTTAGACTGTCCCTTTTCTTACAATTTATTTGGCCCCTAATTGACCCACCCTCAAAGGTTATCAAATATTTCTCTCTCTTCTTATACATAGTATCAAATACTCCAATTTTGTATAAACCCACGAAATGACAGCAAATAAACAATATTCAAGAACAAATTTTTTGCACAAAAACAAAAAAAATTCAAATCAAATTAAAAAACCAAACCAATAATCTAAAAAGACTTAATAAAATTCATCGAGAGAGAGAGAGAGAGAGGGGGGGGAGGGGGGGACCTGTTTGACGGACTCGGCGATCTCGGGGCCGATACCGTCGCCGGGGAAGAGAGTGGCTCGGATGAGATCGGAGGCTGACGCGGTGGAGCAGAAGCTCCGATCGAAGCATGAGAAAACCCTAGCTGGACAAGGGTTTGTGGAGGACTGTGCTGAGAAAATCTCGTTCGCGCTGCTTCGGAGGACGCGTTTCACGATTCGGAAAGCCATGAACGTTAAGCTGACACGATAAAACGACGACCAAACGAGAGAGACAGATTGATTCTTGTAGCAGTGTATACTAATTAAGAATTGTTTGCTCTTAGAATTTTCAAAGTTGAAAGGGAAGAGAGTAGAAAACTCCGAGTCATGAACCCAAGGGGTTGCACTTTGGGAAGACTTTGGGCATAACCCCTGAGCGCCCAGTTTTACTCCTTTCGGGGGTTATTAGTCATCGAGCAGCGACCGTATATGTGGTTGATAAGACATAGTTTATTGAATTTTTTTTTATATTTTAAGTAAATTTTTTACTTTTTAGACACACTTAACATAAATATATCTAAAAAATAAAAATATTATAATTTTTTTTAAAAAAATTCACTAAATACCAAAAATAAAAAATAAAAAAAAGAATTCAGTACATTTTTTATATTTTTATGTATTTATTAATTTTTTAAAATATTTTTTCACAAACTTTTTACTTTTTAGATACATCTAAGTAATGTGTATCTAAAAAAGTAAAAAAAAATGTTTAAAATTTAAAAAATATTCACTAAAAACAAAAAAACACGAAAATCAAAAAAGTCAATTTTTAAAAAACTTAATCTAGAAAACTCAAACCAAACATACTAAATGTCATTTTGGGTGTAAAATAATATCGTTTTGATACATTCGAACCACAAAAATTCAGGGCATCAAACATTTTCCTAATTTTTAAGCAACATATATAATTGGTAAGATATGATTTTTACAACAATGATACATCCCACTAATTTGGGAGCACTAATGGACCACTAATGAGGTGGAAATTCAAAAAAAAAAAAAAAAACTTAAGGCAAAAACATCACATCAATCAGTGAGACCCACTCTCTAGAGTTCCTTTAATGCTCCCAATTTAGAGCTCCCAAATATTTTTCTGATTTTTAACATGTAATGTCAAAAATATTAAGGGATGGTTTAGGATGTCCTAAATAAGTGTATTTGTTGACTTTTTATAAAAAAGATATGTAAAAAAATAGAGAGAAGATGTTAATTGATATGACCCAAAAAAAATAAAAAAATTAAAATAACTTACGCCAAACGGGGCAAACTTCAGCCTATATGTGAATTTATAACTTATTACCATATAATTGAATAACTTTAACAATTATTTATCTTCCGATGTACCCCCAAAAAAAAAAAAAAAACAATTATTTAAAAATAATTTTTGAAATCTCGACTCTTTTATAGGCCTACTTTAAAATTTGCAGTCCTGTTTTGGGAGGGGCCGTTGTTGAACATGGCCAATGGGAGCTTGCCACGATACCCGTTCAAAATGTAATTTGTGCCTTTTGCCTTACTCGATTTTGTTGCTTCTTTCTTGTAAAAAATACTTACCTAATAATGTTCTCCATCACCGCTGTAATTGATTCGGTTCGAGTTTGGAACAAATTTAGCATGCGTTAATACTACAATTTAAAAAATCAAAAATGTCTAAGATTTTTTTTTTTTTTCACTCCCTTTGACTCCGTTTCTGTCTCATTGGTTGGATTTTTTTTTTTTTTTTTTATTTTTGTTTTGTTTCTCTTGTCCTCCAATTACCACCCCCATGTGTGTGGGGGTGGTGAGAGTGGTGATTAGAGAGAGTCTCCATCACTCTTCTTAAAAAATTTATTAAAAATATAAATACGTGAATTAGATTTATGTTACGTGTGAATTCTTAATATATTGATTAAATATTTATAATTCAAATATAATTTAAAAGAGTAAGAGAGACAGTGGCGGAGCTAGAAAATTAAGTTAAAGGGGACACTTATTAATTATAATTTTTTATTTAAAAAAATCATGAGCAACATATGATAATCATAATTTTATGAGATAAATTTAAATATAAAAAATTACATATTTATTATTAATAAGAATAAATCAAAATTCTATAATAATGTAGAATAGCTCAGTGTGGGATGATGATGTAAGTTTGTAATTTTAACACAAAAAATTATGAATCGAAATTCCTAATTTTAAAAAATAAAAACACATAATTTATAGCACAAATTATTTTAAAATCTATTAATTTTTATTTGACAGAAAAATATTAAAGTGATGACATTGCTTATAAATGATGTGTTTTGAATGAAAATTGTTAAACAGTATTAGAGTACCATATGGTGTTACTTATGTGATGCTTAAAGAATAGAAAATCAGAAATCATACTAAGTGGTATGTCAACTACTTGAAAATAATGAGTTCATTATATCAAATCTATAATATTTTTCACTACACTATTGATTTAAACTACTATATAAATAATACCACATCGCGTTCCTAAAGTATCCAATAAATACTTGTGGGGGCCGAATATTGGGAGTCGTAAAGAGGCCGAATAGTTGAACTTGGAGAGTTGAGATATATATAGCATTCGGCTCTGTCTCGCACATTCAAATCCCTCCATATTCGGTCAAATGGCCGGATGGGCAAGGGGCCGAGTGAAAAACAATTCGCTACAAAAAAAGCCGAATAGCGAACTGAAGGTGGGCCCAACCCCGAGGCCCAAGAAAGAAAAGATATAAATAGAGGAATATCAGCTAGAAAGAGATATGTGAGAACCATTACGCTTAACTTAAAATACAAGTAATCCTGAGTGTAGAGACTGACTTGCCCGTCGGAGTGCTAATTTCGGCACCCCCAACCAAAATGTTTATTCCTTTTCAAGTGACTAGCAGAGGATCACGAGTGTCCCCCACGATCAGAAGAGTATTTCCAAATCACTTCTCCACAATTGGCGCCGTCTGTGGGAATACTCAAATACATCCATGGCGGGCGTAACGGAAGACCCTCCGATAGTTACTGATGAAACCACGCAGAGAGACGACCTCACTCCAACAAACATACTTGGACCGGAGACTATCCCCGCAAGACGCGCTTTGAACTTCGCCTCACCCCCGACTTCATAGCGTAAGGCAATGCAAGCGATCATGGAACAAGCAAAGCAAAACGAACAGAGATTAGAGAACATGATCGCTGAGAACGAACGTCTCCGTCAAGATTTGGCCTTGGAAGTGGCAAAGTCCAAACAAGCTGTACGCCAAGATCCGGAACGACCTCTGAGGACAGGTGGTCGACGACCTCAAGCCTGACAACAAGACATTAATAGCGACTCCGACTCATTATACCCGAAGCCCAAGAAGAAGGGACGACTCGAAACTTCCAGTTCCTCTGAAGAGAGTCCACATATAAGGCATAAGCGCAGAAGAAACAGTTCAGATGAAGAAGACCAGCATGATCCCTTTGTACGACGGATTGCCAGGGCAGTTCTGCCCAAAAAGTTCAAAGCTCTGTCGTTCACTCTCTATGATGGAAAATCAGACCCGACCAATCACATCTGTCACTACAAGCAAGCTATGACATTGCATGCAGACGACGAGGCCCTTATGTGCCGAATATTTCCCAGCAGTCTAGGACCACTGGCTGTCAGGTGGTATTATAAACTGGAGCCGACTTCGATCAAAAGCTTCCATCAATTACAGAAAATCCTTCAGGGCTAGATTCATCACCAACGAGGTCCAGCCGAAATAAGCCGACTCTCTCTGGGCAATGCAGATCCAGCCAGGAGAAATACTAAGAGCGTATTCGGCGCGCTATTGGGAGTGCTTTAATCTTGTTGATGACGCTTGCAACGACTCCACGGCCATCACCGCCTTCAAAATGGGTTTACATCCTGACAGTGCTCTCCGCAGTTCTTTGATTAGAAGACCTCCCAAAACGGTCTGGTCGTTGATGAAAAAAGTTGAAGAATACTGCAAAGTGGAAGATGACGCCTTGCGGGTTAAAACCGAAAACACGGCCAACAAGACAGCTCATTCTGAAATTGCTCAGCCAATAAATTCTGTACCACCTCAGAGCCCTGAACCACGCCATCGGGCCAAACGAGACAAGAGACAGGATTCTCGCCGATCGAGCGACCAATGCTCCAGCCAAGCAAATGAACGTTGACAGCAGGCGAACGAGGCGCGCCGACAAGAAATATACGGAGTTGACAGAGTCGATCGGTGCGGTTATGTCCAAAATCCAATACTTTCCATTCTTCAAATGGCCGTCGAAAATGGTAGGACCTCTCGACACGCGAAGACGAGATAGGCGGTGCGAGTATCACAAGGATCATGGCCATGATACTGAGAGTTGTTATGCATTGAAGGATCACCTAGAGGAATTGGTACAAGATGGCCAGCTACAACAGTACGTTCGAAAAGGCAACCCAACCAAAGCAATACCCTTAAGACAAGATTCACCTCCGCTCGGCGTGATCCACACGGTATACAGCCTGCCAATGTCATCTGCGGTGCATACGATTCAGTCGAATCCGACCCTCAAAATCAACTCACTCCGGCTAAACGGCCCTATGAAGCTGCAAGCATTGCTTTTGATGATTCAGATTTGGCTGGAGTGACACTGCCCCACACTGATTCCTTGGTAATTGAGTTACGCGTAAACCGGTTCACTGTTGAGCGCGTACTCATTGATCCAGAGAGCACATCAGAAGTCATGTATTACAACACATTCATCAAACTCGGCTTCTCTGAATCGAACCTTTCTCCGGTTCCTTATCCATTATTCAGCTTCAACACCAATCCAGAATACCCGTTGGGGAAAATCACACTACCCATTCGAGCGGGCTCTCGAACGGTGGCTGTGGAGTTCTTGGTCGTCAAGTTACCGTCGCTATATAATCTCATCATGGGGCGGTCTTGGTTACATACTATGCAGGCCGTGCCAAGCACTTATCATCAGCTGCTACGCTTCCCGACAGAACGCGACATTGAGCAATCTGTGGCTCCTATAAATCGACACAAGCATGTTATCTCCTTGTTGAAAAAACGCCAAAGGAGCTGCAAGTGAAATCTATTGAAGTGACGGATCAGGAGAGCCTCGACGATGTTGGGCGGCTCTCCAATGAAAAGGCCACGGAAGCCCTAGATTGAGTTGAAATCAATGGAAACCCAGATAGGTTCTTCATGGTCAGCGCCTCCCTGAATCAAGTCGACAGATAGTAGCTAATTTCTTTCCTGCTCGGCAATCTTGATGTATTTGCGTGGATTCCATATGAGATGCCGGGTGTAGATCTATCTGTTTCGCAGCACCGTTTGAATGTTGACCCTAAATGCAAGCCGATCATTCAGAAAAGCCGGCGATCAGCCGCAGAGCACACTATCGCCGTTGTTGAAGAGGTTGACCGATTGCTTGATACCGGA